ACATACACAGGATCAAATAAAATAACATATCCTAAATCAAGCAGGATTCTACAGAGGATCAAGATAGATTCAGCCTTACTCCCAAGTCAACTCAAGCACATCCGTTGACTCAGGAGTAGGGGGGACTGGTGACAGGATAATAGGGCTGGCACCCGACCCGGATCACAAATGAGCATCTGACTCAGCATCACATGGGAACCCAACGGGCAGAACTCAAACGGTTAAGATTCCAACAAGTGTCACCTTTATTGTCATTGAAGCCACCTTTGATGCCACCATTGATGAGAGAGAGTTAAAGCCTCAACGCCTCATTCATGACTCTTGATATTCTTGCCGTTAGCTCAGCTCCCCAAGGATGTCTCTTCATGTTGTTACCGTTAGGACCTAGCATAAATAGAACTTCCCTCAGCTGAGCAGAGGACACTGTATTTTCTATACCGAGACAAGAACAATACAACTATTGTTACTCTCTTATAACGTTATTATAGTATTATTATTACCGGTAACATTATTACCGTCACACCTCTTACTAAATTATACATGTACTCGATTTCTTTAGAGAATTCATATATAATCAAAGAGATATCCAATAGCTTCTCAGAAACTGAAAGTTACACTCCTGCGAGCTTTTAACTTTCAAAGTTTGAAGTACTAGCCTAATAGTCACGTCCATTTTGATCCCTAATAGTCAAAGGTTAAATGGACTACTAGCCTAATAAGCTATTAGGCTAGTATTACTAAAGTATAAATCGATTAAAAAAATTATTACTAAAGTATAAAAATTAAAAATAAACAATTAATAAATGAGTTTTTCCTTCTAAAAAAAATTAATCAAGTACTAATAACGTATTCTTTCAAAAAAAAGTACTAATTACATACATTAATAATGATTTTTTTTTATTTGTTCATTTATGTGATTTGTCACGTCCATTTTGTTTTTAAATTTATTAACTTAATTTTTATTAATATTTGAAATTAATTATGTTGCCATATAAAAACAATTATGTTACCATATAATTCTCTAAAAGATAAAAGAAGTGATTAAAATATTTTCAAAAAAAAAAATAATTATATTAATTAATTCGATGATAATACCTCTAGATTTAACACCTATTTAACAGAAATCTTAACGGAGGACTATTTGTGATAAAAAATGATAGTCAAGGTACGTGTTTTGGTCGACACTGCTGAAAATTATAAAATTTTCGACCACCTGAAAGTGATCTTAAATCAAGTCAAAAGCCTTGTTCCGATCACTTTTGGTATCCGTAAAAACCTTTGTTGCTATTTCCGACCACTTTTTACTTTCAATTTGATTTAAGATCACTTTTAGGTGGTCGGAAATTCCATAATTTCCAGCAGTAAATTAAAAGTCGATAACTAAAAGAAGTACTAGTCTAATAGTCGGATGCTGTGGTATTAACTCTTTTAAATATTTCTTACAACTTTTGATATACATACATACATGTATAAAGAATTTTATAAAACTGCACAAGCTAGGCAATATAATATAATCTTTGTTTACTTGGACAATAGAATTTAAACATAGATTGAGTTAATTGGATGATAACATATATTGAAAGGAAGGCACCATCCGAAAACCATATTAGTTTGTTTTAATTCAAAAACAAAATGATTGGAATCCATATTGACTCCATTTTATATTGTGTGCCGGTATTTAAGTTGTAGTCAAATATCAATTATTGAGTTAATTTTCATTTGGCAAGTCTCCTACCATTTAGTGTGTTAACCGTAAGGACGCGAGATTAGTCTTCTAGCTATCGGCTAGAGGGATATCCTTAGGCAACTAAAAAATTATTGAGTTAATTTTTATGGAGAAAGACCTTGACTTGAGTGTCATATATTAAAGTTAGTATCATTTAATATGTGTGTGTGCGCGCGCGCGAAGATTTAAAATCGGGTGTGAAGTTCGTAAAAAATGCGTACAAATCTCAGCCATTAAATTCATCTAGATCTGATGCTTTATATAAAAATAAAAAAAATTTCTCTTCGAATTAATAAAGATTGTGCACTTGAAAAGCGCAAAAACGTGTACTTGAAGGCACAAAAATGTGCACTTGAAGACAAAAATTCTGCACTCCTTAAGTTATTCAACTTAAGTTCTATTAAAGCAATTATCCGTATAAATTGTTTGTAAATTTCACAAATTTCATTAGAAATTTAGTTATATGTTATTAGAAAAGAATGTAAAAGATACAACAAATACTGACCCTGAATTGTACACTTGAAGGCAATACAAATGTGCACTTGAAGGTAAAAAACATGCACTAGAAGGAAAAAAAAATTGTTCACTGGTGCTAAGTATTATTTTTTTTACACAATAGTAACTAGTAAGACACGCATACACTTATAGGCATGAAATTGAGCACTTGAATGCATAAAGAAGATCACTAGAACGTCTAGAAGGCAAGGGAGCAAAAAAAAGACACTATAAGGAAAATTTTGAATGAAATTAATTGTGCACTCTTAGAAAGGAAAACATGCATTTGAAGGGTACAAAACATACACTTGAAGGCTAACAACATGCATTAGAAGGAAAGGAAAAAAAATCACTAGAATGCCAAGTATTTTTTTTTTTTAATTACACAGTAGTAAGACACACATAAACTTGTAGACATGAAATTGAGCACTTTAAAGCATAAAGAGGATCACTAGAAGGTAAGGGAGAAAAAAAAAAAAAAAAAAAAAAAAAGACACTAAAAGGGAAAATTCGAAGAAAATTAATTGTGCACTCTTAGAAAGGAAAACATGCACTTGAAGACTACAAAACGTGCACATGAGGCCAAATTTTTCCACTCAAAGGCACAAAGATGTGCACTCAAAATAAAAACTATGTACTGAAACAAAACAGATGCACTCGAAGAAGAGAAATATGCACTTGAAGAATGAAACATGTGCACTCGAAAAAAAAAATGCACTCGGATACAAAGACAATTTGACTAACTTACTCAAAATAAATTACAATAATGTCACCGCGCGTCTTTAATTAATTGAACTGTTAATTTGAACTATATCTATGATTGAGATTTATTCCTATTTTTTTTTATATAAACACTTCCTTCGCATATGATACAAATTATATATATATATATATATATATATATATATATATATATAAAAGAAAGTTCAAATGCGACGGGGTCTTCCCGTGCAGCTGTGCGGCGGAATTTCAGAATACACAAACAGTGTTAACAACATGCACCAACATTGTAAGGGAAACACACCACAATGAAATGCAAAAAAAAAAAAAAAAAAAAAAAAAAAAAAAAAAAAAAAGTACACAACAGACCCAAAAAATACACCATATAACTCACCACCCCCAATAGTTTATTTCCGAACACTGTATGGTATTTTTACCCATACCTAATGGTGTGTTTTTGGTGATGCGTACCTAATTTGTGAATATTTTTGTGATTTATTTTCATAACGTTGATAGTGTATATTTGTTGAACTATTGGTGACGCTGCACTGTAAGGCACAGCCGTACTTGAACCTTCCTCTATATATATATATATATATATATATATATATATATATATATATATAGGGAAGGGATCAGGTGCATTTGTGGCTTCCCGTGCGGTTGTGCGGTTGATTAATGTGCGTGAGTTTTACACTTAATGTGCGTGAGTCTTGTGCTTAATGTGCCTGAGCTTTATACTTAATGTGTGTGAGTATGTAATGTTAATGTGCGTGTGTTTTGTATTCAATGTGCCTGAGTCTTGTGTTTAATGTGCCTGAGATTTGTACTTAATGTGCGTGAGTTAAGATGCATGCCACTGTAGATCGAGTCCAAGAACGCATGCAAATTCACCACCATTTGCACGCCAAAATATGAAGAATCCCTTCACCTTAGATAGCTAGTAGCTAGCCTGGCGATGCTGAATGTCCATAGTTAGCAAGCAGCTAGGCTGTCAGATGCTGAATCTTCATAGTTTGGTGATCGATTGAAAAATAATAATCCTTTAATTCTGGGATCTCATGCCCACAGTTATTAATCCATGCATATATGCATCCTCATTCCTCCAGATATCGATCACAGGGTAACCCGTAAAGATAACACCTGTATATTTGTATGTTTAATTTACGTAGTCAAAATTAAAACAATAATAATCAAACCTACTCACGCACATTAAGCACACAACTCACGCACCTTAGTCACAAGACTCACACACCTTAAGTACAAAACTCACGCACATTAACATTACACACCCACGCACATTAAGGGGGGTGTATTCAATCCAGACTTTTAAAGAGTTTTAATGACTTTTAACGACTTTCAAAGTTTGGTGGTATTCAATTTAGACTTTTAAAGACTCTTTAAAAGTCTACCTGTATTCGATTCAGACTTTTCAGAAGTCTTTAAAAGTATACAGGTATTCGTTTCAGACTTTTATTGAGTCTTTAAAAGTCTACTGGTATTCAAATATTTATCAACTTTCATAGACTTTATCAGAATAGGATTTCTGTAGACTTTTTCTTCATTAATATAAATAGATGAAATCCGACCCTCCAACCTCAAACTTTTCAATTTTCTCTACAGACTTTTTTTCCTCTATCAACCAGACAACTTTTTCATCAAATTGTCGGTACGTCTATACGTTGTAATTTTTTTTTTTTTTATATTTATGCAACTTTGTTTGCTGCGAACAGCAGCAAAATTCCAAGAATTTTGCTGCTGTTCGCAGCAAATTTGCTTGCTGCGTGTTCGCAGCAGCAAACATGCTGCGAACAGCAGCAGGGGGCTGCTGTTCGCAGCAGATTTTACGCTTATCTGCTGCGAACAGCAGCATCTCCGCTGCTGTTCGCAGCATAAATATTCTATAATTTTTTTGTAATGAATTGAATTAATATACTCAAATTTTTACAATTTTTTTTTTATAATTAATATAATTTTATGTTATTATATGTTCATTAATTATTAATATTTGTATTTGTGTTAAGTTGAATTATTTGAGGTTCTTATTTATTTGATAGTAATGGGGGATCAAGAAAGGAGTAAAGGTAAAAGTAAAGTTAATGGAAATTATGCATTATGGGCACCTGAGGAGAGTAATGAGTTGTTACAACTTATGGTTGATGCGATAAAAAATGGATGGCGTGATAGTAGTGGGGGTTTAAGCAAGTTAACTGTGGAGAAGAGGATACTTCCGGCTCTTAATGAAAAGCTTGGTTGTCAAAGATCGTATGCACAATACCAAAGCAGATTGAAATGGTTCAAGCATCGTTTTAACAATTTTTCTGAGCTTATGCGTCATAATTCTGGATTTGGTTGGGATCCAATCACAAAGAGGTTTACTGCTAGCGATGAGGTGTGGGAAGATTATTTTAAGGTGAGATTTTTATATCGTTTAATTAACATAGATGTTTCTTAAATTTTATATTTTAAATAATTTATTAACTATTTTATTTTCCTTTTCTAGTCTCATCCTACTCATAAAAATCTACGGACAGATACGATTGCTGACTATGATGATTTAGCATTTGTATTTGGAAGTAGTACTGCTGTAGGAAAAAACTCTATCGGATTGGGTGATGAAACTGATGCAAGAATCTATAGTGTTGAAGAAGATAATCAGTGTAGAATTGATCAACTACACTTTGATTTTGCTAACGATGGATTTACACAAAATGATATACAAGTAGATTCTCAAGATCCACGATTATCACAATATACTTCATCAGCACCTCAAGAGATAAATGTGGAAGCAACTTCAACAAAGTATTATAAGAGAAAAAGGAATAGAACTGAATATGAAGGAAATAGTAGTTCAACAGAGGAAACAAATCGATCTAATGTGTTAGATAAATTATCTAATACTCTTGATTCGATTGCGGCTGATATCCATATTTTGGTGCAAAAAAGGGTAAAAGAAAGTGGTTGTTGGGATGCTATTAAGGAACTCCCTGACTTGGATAGTGATACTTGTTTCAAGGTTTTGGAATGGCTGAACACCAAATCAAAGAAAGATACATTTATAAATATGTCACCCCAAGATCGCTATAAGTGGATAATGTTCAAATTGTCCAAATGAGAGTTCATAGTATTATTATTATTAGTACTATTATTAGTTTCATAAATTTTGTTCCATGCATTAACAATATTTGTGTTGGATTTTTTACATGAAGTTTGATAGAATTATTGTTAGTATTACTATTTTTTTTTACTATAAATTCTTTTCTTTACTTTTTTTTTTAAAAAAATATTTTTTATTGTTTCATATAAATACTTTTGTTTGTAGGTACTATTTAATACCATTTAGGTGATTGATATATAATGTCAAGCTCTAGTATTGATAGCAATGACGACTTTGAGATGGTTGATGTGGAGGAAGAACAAGTAGATGAAGAAATTGAAGAAGTAGAGTTTTATGAAATCATTCAACGTTTATCGGAAATAATTTCTATGATTATACAAGTATTAAAAGAGGTTATTATTGATAATAATGGTGAACGAATTGAACATCCACTAGCTCGACGACCGATTACTTCACGTGGATACACTTACATACAAAACGTATTGGCTGAAGATTCTGATAACTTTCGGCAAGTATACAGAATGTATCCAAATGTGTTTTTAAAGTTATGTCATATTATAAGAGAGAAAACACTTCTAAAGGATACAAGATACATTACTGTTGAAGAAATGGTTGCAACATTTTTACTAACAGTTGGCCAGAACTCTAGATATTGCCATACTCGTGAAACATTTTATCGGTCACACTTTGCTACAAGTAAGAATTTTAACAAAGTTTTAAAGGCTCTTAACACAATAGCACCTGAGATGATGGTCAAACCTAGTTTCATAGTGCCTACACGAATAAGAGAAAGTACAAGATTTTACCCATACTTTAAGGTAAGCAATAAATCACCCTATTTGATTAATTATTGTTCTATTTTTTATGCGTGTCATAGGTATTCTTATAAATGTGAATATGAAATCATATTTATGTGTTGAATTTACTTTAGGATTGTGTTAGAGCTATTGATGGCACACATATTCCAGCAATGGTAACTGGGCGTGATGTAAGCAGTTATCGTAATCGTCATGGAATAATTTCACAAAATGTATTGGCTGCTTGTAACTTTGATTTAGAATTCATATATGTTCTTAGCGGGTGGGAGGGTTCAGCACATGATTCAAAATTGCTAAGTGACAGTTTATCAAGGAGGAATGGCCTTAAAGTACCACAAGGTCAGTTTAGTTTAGTTTTTTTTTTTTTAAATAATATTAAATAACTTTACATATTGGATAATTAATATTTTAAATGTGTGTAGGTAAATACTTTTTAGTGGATTGTGGATTTCCAAACCGACAGCAATTTTTAGCTCCATATCGAGGTGTACGTTATCCTCTTCAAGATTTTTTCGGACAAGGTCGTGACCCTGAAAATGATGTTGAGTTATTCAATCTACGACATTCTTCTTTGAGGAATGTAATTGAGAGGATATTTGGTATATTCAAATCGAGATTTACGATCTTCAAGTCAGCACCTCCATTCCCTTATAAGACTCAAGCAGAACTTGTACTAGCTTGTGCCGGGCTTCATAATTTTCTTCGCAAGGAGTGTCGTAGCGATGAGTTTCCAATTGAGCTAAATGATGATGAATCTCCTTCACCTTTACCGACGAATGATGTAGATAATTTTGAACATCTGTTTGAAACTCAAGAGCAACAACGAGAGCATGCCAATGAATGGAGGGCTAAAATAGCTTTGGATATGTGGAGAGACACCCAACAAGGTGAAAACAATTCCAATCAAAGATAATTGTACTAACAAGATGAATATTTTAATTTGTACTTTTTGATTTTAGACATTTTGATAATTATATTACTCAATATTAGTTGTTTCATTAGTACAAGAAATATTTTTGTTGGTTATATTTAGTGAAAATAGATTATATTAATTGATTAATCTATTTTCTTTATGTATAATATAATCTATTTTTGTGACAATCAATATTTATTTTTTATTTTTTTGCAATGCATTAATTTATTTATGGTTTATATAAATATATTTTTGTAAGAAAATTATAAATATAATGTATTAGTAGAAGTTATGGAATGTTTGTAAGGGTGTATTCAATTTAGAATTTTAATGACTTTTGTAGACTTTTTAATATGAAAAAGTTTTTAAAAGTCTATAAATGTTTGTCTTATGGATTTTTAAAGACTCTTACAAAGTTGATGAAAGTTTAAAAGATTCTAGGAAAGTCTACGAAATCTCTACAAAAGTCATTTAAAATCCATCACTTTAAAAGTCTTTGAAACTCTTTAAAAGTCTTGATTGAATACACCCCCCTAAGTACAAATCTCAGGCACATTAATTAAGCACAATACTCACGCACATTGAATACAAACTTCACGCACATTAATCAATCGCACAACCGCACGGGACCTTTCACTATATATATATATATATATATATATATATATATATATATATATATATCATCTCTTAACATATTTTTTTTTCCTTTCTTATACATATAATAACCATTTCGAATTCTCTAGAGAATTCATAGATAGCCAAAGAGATATCTAATAGCTCTTGGGAAATCGAAAGTTACACTCCGCAAGCCTTTAATCTAATCCTTTCTCTTTTTTATGAGTTAATACCCAAAATAGTCCCTCGACTATGTCGTAATTACCAATTTGGTCCTCGACTATCATTCTTACCCAATTAAGTCCTCAATTATACAATTTTTACCCAATTTAGTCCTTTGTCAATTTGACTGTTTGTTGACTGTCAAAAGTGGAAATAAAGTTGTAATTTTACAAGTTTTCTCCTTCCTCCTTATTTAGCAGCGCCAAACCATGTAGCAATAAGCCCCGGTTGGGTTCTAAATCTGTCAGTATCGAAGTAGTGGTTATGCATCGGATAGCCCATGAATTTGATTTCCAACGATTTTTTGACGATCGAAATCTGATCGGAGTGTATTGCTGCATGGTTTGGCGTTGCTAAATGGAGAGGAAGGAGAAATCTTGTAAAATTATAATTTTATCCCGACTTTTGACAGTCAACAAACAGTCAAATTAATACAGAGGACTAAATTGGGTAAGAATTGTATAGTTGAGGACTAAATTGGGTAAGAATTGTATAGTTGAGGACTTAATTGAGTAAAAGTTACATAGTTGAGGACTTAATTGAGTAAGAATGATAGTTGAGGACCAAATTGGTAATTATGACATAGTCGAGGGACCATTTTGGGTATTAACTCCTTTTTTATATTTGTTAGTCAGGTATACTTCTAAATTCTAATCAATAAATTTAGTATATTTATAAGAAAATTTCAATTCCATTCCTATTTGCTTTTAAAATGTTATTAAAAAACGAGTAAAAACAAAAGACACAAACTATACATTATGAGCTGCATGTCTTTGAATCCACGGCATGATTTCATCAACCTTACGATTGCATGTTAGTTTAATTTAAGAATTTTGTTATGATCATCTTCCACGTAACTCCCCAATTTAATTCAAGTTGACTATATGTAGTTTCTATCGCATGCATGCAGCGTAAACTTGAAACACGTAGCTGTCTTGTGTTCAGTGTTCTCCGCCATCCTCTATCTCCTTCATCACTTCTACTATGCCACTATCCAGGTTGTCATTTTTAAACAAAATATAAATTACTAGTGATTAAATAATGTTTAATGAACAAAAAAAGTTAATATAATAAAATTAAATGATCAAATAAATAAAGAATATTGTAATTATATATATTTTAACATCAATATTATAATAAATGAAACAGAAATGCTTTGTTTGCATTAATCCAATAACGCATATATAAGATACAAATGAAAATCAAAATTCTTTTTCTTAATTGAAGTTTATTTTTTTTTAACAAAAACAGTTAAAACAAATAGAACTATAGAAGTAAAATTTTCAAATAAAAAAATTATATTCAAATAGATACACACTATTCATTAATTAAATTTTATTATTAAATTAAAATATATTTCTTGAAATTACATATAGACATATGCATGCATGAGTTTGTATTTAATTTTATATAATGAAGGTATAACTGGTAAAAGAAAAATGGGAAAATGGCACTTTTTCCCCCTATGTTATATACTTATAGCACTTTTCCCCCCTTAATTATTTAAGTGGCTCTTTTTCCTCCTGAAATGTTAAATGGACATATTTACCCTTAAAATAAATATTTCATTTATTTTTATTCTCCAATAAATTATTACTATAATTTAGTTCAAACCAGATACTATAGTAACCAAACCAAAATATTTCAATTACAATTTATAATCAAAATGCGATATTTAGAGTTTATTAAAATCGCGAACTGGAATGACCGGTTCATGTTCCGAACTGAAAAAATAAAATACATTTATTGTTGAATTTAAACTATTTTAAAATAAAAAATAAAATTTTAAAATAAAGACGGTTGAAAATCGCGAACGGGATCCGGAACCGCCGGTTCATGATCCAGTTTTTTTTTATTCTTAAATTTAATAAATTGAAATCCAAATATTGGGTTCTAGATCTGAATCATAACTGAAAACTTTTAATTCGATTGCTATAGTGTCTGGTTCAGTTCGAATCGAACCGTGGTAATCGCTACATATACGCAATAATTTGTTGGAGAAGTAAAATAAATAAAATGTTTACTTTAAGGGTAGAAATGTCAATTTAATATATTAGGGGGGAAAACCACCACTTTTAAAATAATTGAGGGGGCTAATGTGCTTACATAAATAATTGAGGGGGAAAAAGTGCTATAAGTATATAACATAGGGGGAAAAAGTGCTATTTTCCCAAGAAAAATTTTTGATGGTAAACTTAATAAGGAAGTATATATATATATATATATATGTACAATATAAAGAGCACCAAAAAAAGCATTTAATGTCACTTATTTCATTAAAAATTCTTATTAAAGACTAATGTTAAAATAAATGTCAAAATAATTAAAAAAATTTGATAGTGATTGGCGAGGGTGAAAATGGCGCAGAGAGTAACAGCGTCGGAGACCAGGGCTAGATTTTAGGGTATGCAAAATGTCCAACAACA